TTGCTTTAGGCAGGATGGCCATTTTGGCAATATTAATTGTCCCTATCCATGAACATGGGATGTATTTCCATTTATTGGTATCTTCTTTAATTTCTCTCATGTATGTCTTGTAGTTTTCAGAGTATAGGTCTTTCACTTCATTGGTTATGTTTATTCCTAGGTATTTTATTTTTTTTGATGCAATTGTGAGTGGAATTGTTTTCCTGATTTCTCTTTCTGATAGTTCATCATTAGTGTACAGGAATGCAACAGATTTCTGTGTATTAATTTTGTATCCTGCAACTTTGCTGAATTCAGATATTAGATCTAGTAGTTTTGGAGTGGATTCTTTAGGGTTTTTTATGTACAATATCATGTCACCTGCAAACAGTGACAGTTTAACTTCTTTCCTGCCAATCTGGATGCCTTTTATTTCTTTGTGTTGTCTGATTGCCATGGCTAGAACCTCCAGAACTATGTTGAATAAAAGTGGGAAGAGCAGGCATCCTTGTCTTGTTGCCAGTCTTAAAGGAAAAGCTTTCAGCTTCTTGCTGTTAAGTATGATGTTGGCTGTGGGTTTGTCATATATGGCTTTTATTATGTTGAGGTACTTGCCCTCTATACCCATTCTGTTGAGAGTTTTTATCATGAATGGATGTTGAATTTTGTCGAATGCTCTTTCAGCATCTTTGGAGATAATCATGTGGTTTTTGTCCTTCTTTTTGTTGATGTGCTGGATGATGTTGATGGATTTTCAAATGTTGTACCATCCTTACATCCCTGAGATGAATCCCACTTGATCATGGTGTATGATCCTGTTGATGTATTTTTGAATTCTGTTTGCTAATATTTTGTTGAGTATTTTTGTATCTATGTTCTTCAGGGATATTGGTCTGTAATTTTCTTTTTTTGTGGTGTCTTTGCCTGGTTTTTGTATTAGAGTGATGCTGGCCTCATAGAATGAGTTTGGAAGTATTCCCTACTTTTCTATTTTTTGGAAAACTAAGTAGAATGGGTATTATGTCTTCTCTGTATGTCTGATAAAATTCAGCGGTGAATCCATCTGGTCCTGGAGTTTTGTTCTTAGGTAGTTTTTTTATTACCAGTTCAATTTTGTTGCTGATAATTGGTCTGTTCATATTTTCTGTTTCTTCCTTGGTCAGCCTTGGAAGGTTGTATTTTTCTAGAAAGTTGTCCATTTTGTATGGTGTTTCTTGTTTAAATTGTTCACACAGTGAAATACATTACTAGATCTCAAAGGATTTCTTAGGTAAATCCTTTAATACATTGTGGATTCAATTTCCTGGCATTTTGTTTAGAATCTTGACCTAATGGTGTATTGGTGTACCATTTTCCTTTTTGCTCCACCCCTTGTTCAGGTTTGATGTCCTTTCCATGGTAGCCTCTTAAAATATGTTGAGAAGCTTTCTAGTATTTTCCTATGCCCTAGAGCAGTTTACACAACACCGGTATTATCTGTTCTTGGGTTTTGGAGATCATGTGCAAGTTTTAACTTGCTCGGCCTGATACCTTTTTTAGGGAAAAAATCTTTTGACTATTTAAAAAATATCCTTTATGGTTATTGGCCTACTTGGGTTTCTCACCTCTTTTTTTGCACTAATTTTAGCAGAGAAAATGAATCAGTTTAGCTTAGATTTTTGAATGTCAAATTGGTGTATAAAAATTGAACCTATTGACCTTTTGCCATTTCTAATAGTATGTATATGTGTACTCTTTCCCTTTTCCAATAAAGATTAGAATTGCCAGTTTTTTGTCTATTTTATAGGTGTTTAAAAAAAGCTATCCGGTGTGCTTTTATTGGTTAGTTTTATGGTACCCATCCTTCCCTGATATTAACCCAGGTCCTGGTCAGCAGCCTGCACCCTCTGCCATGCTGCTCATGATCTTCAGAGGAAAGCTGTCACACTCCCAGCTCCTGGGTGGGGTGGCTCATTGGCTTGATGAAGTAGCGTAGTCCAGGGCCCTGGCTCCCTGACCCCTGTTGGGTTCTCCCAGTCAGCCTGAGGCATAGTTCGAGGAGAGACATGCGCTCTGCCTCTGAATGTGGGTGAGGAAGTAGGAGGATGTGAGCTGTTGGCAACCATTTTTCAACCAAGAGACCAACTCAGGGAGAAGCCACCACTAGTGAGGAGAGGAGACAGAAATCTTAAGCCTGTTTGAGAGTGCAAGTTTCTCTTACTTAGGACCTTCTAAATGGTAACTAATTTTTGGTTTTAGTGATCAAATCTGCTTCTTCTTGCTCATTTTATTTCATGAAAGCTCTTTTAGCTTTAATAACTCCCACCTTCTACTTTCAGGGGATTTATTTTATTGTTCTTTTTCTAACTTCTTGAGTAGTATACTATAGTTCATTATAGACTTGTTTGGTTTCTAATATTTTCACTAAATTCCATAAAATTTACTTTGAGTCTCTTAGGATTTGCTATGTACTGACCTCACTGCCAATCATTTCTGTATTACTTTAATTTTATACTATATTTCTTATTTAATCCAAGAATTATACAGAAGGATGTTATTTAATTTCCTGATGGGTAGTTTAGGGGGGGTGGAGGGCCTTCTCCCTTTTCTCTATTAAAAATTATGTCACAATATAGATTTAATTATTTCTGCATTTTAGAATTTATTGAGGTTTTATTTATGCTCAGCATTTGGTCAGTTTCTAGTAAATGTTTCATATATGTTTGAAATGAAAGTGGGTGTGTTTTGAAACAAAGTTCTAGGTATAACTGACTGCATCTGGCTTGTGTTACTTGAATCCTCTCAACACTTCAAATATTTTATGTCTATCTAAGCCATTGATTTCTGAGAGGTTTACCACAAGAACTAAGACTGTCTATTTCTTCTTGTAGTTCCAACATTTCTTGCTTTGTTTCAAAGCTGTGTCATTAGGAGTGCAAGGTTCGTACACCTTTTGTCCTATTTATTATTTGTCTTTTTAAAAATTCAGATTATAGACTTCATTCCTAATTCTGCTTTTCAAATTGATTAGGGTATAATTTTATATTTTGTACATGTTTCTTACAGATTTTCCTTTATTTTGTGCCATTGATAGTTTCTTGCTTTTAGCATTTAATTCATTTCTTTTCATTCTTTGTTATTCAATAAATACCTGTAGGGTTATGAATTTGCCTTGAACACACCCAAAAAACTTTTTAAATTCATTGCTCTAATTATTAGTGTTTTCTAATTAGTTTATAGAATATTTTTATTTCCTCAAAATGAGCCCAACTCTGCCCTAGGGTTTATTTTCAGTAATTTCAAATCATTTGGTTTATTTCACTTATTCTTTCATTATTAAATGCTTGTTTTATTGGATCATGGTAAAAAATGTGGCCCAAAGTAGTTCAGCTTTTAAGGAGGACATTGTGGTTTTCCTAGTAGTCTACCATGCAGTTAATTTTTGTAGAGATTCCATCCCTCAAAGACAGAGGTGGAGAAGAAAAACTCCCTCTAAAGGTGAGGTTTTTCAGTTTTTCATGGATTGCTAATTGATTTTGTTACATATGTTTGATATGTTATTGATGAACTGAACACTGTGTTACGTAGCATGATTCTGTGTTCCATACAGATTGACATTGCCATTTCTATTTTTGTTTGCATATACTTAATATATTTTTGTCCATCGTTTTACTTTCAACTGCTTCGTGTCGCTTGGTTTTAGCATAGCATGTGGTGTCTAAAATAGCATGTGGGTGGATATTTTTTTCTACCCAGTATAAGAATGTTTGACTTTCAAAAGTAGAGTTTTTTGTGTGTTCACATCGGTGGTGATAAGGGATATGTTTGGTCTTTATTCAGTTATCTTGTTTTGTCTTACTGGATTGATTGTTTCCCCCAAAGCGTTGTTTTCCACAAAGGCAGAAGAGTAGATAGGGTTTTTCTTCTCTAGATTTTCTTTTCTCTCGCTTTCCCTCTTTTCCCCTAGAGGAAATGTGATTGCAGAGACAATCACTTCTTTGGTTTCTACCATGTATCCCTAAAAATAGTTTATTTTGCCTATTTTTGCATTTCATCCAGTACCTTTTTGAGTCTGACTCCTTCACTAAATACTATATTTAAGGGAGTACCATGTCGTTATGTGTCACGGTCCATTGTCATTGCTGTTGAGTGTTTTGTGCATCCCTCCTGCCATTGATGGCAGTCGGGTGGCTTCCAGCTGGGTCTCTGTCCACCAGTGCCGCTGTGAGCCGTAGTGCTTGCATATGGGCATGGCTGTTTCTAGGACACACAGCCGGAGGAGCTGCAGTCTGTGGGGCAGGCACCTTTCCTGATTTACTAAATGATTTTGAAGTTTTCCACAGCGGTGGCCCCAGTCCATCTACCCCAGCAGTGTGTCAGCACCTCATGACCCCATATCCTCGACAGCACTGGTGACAGGGTGGAGCATGGCATCCTTGGGGAAGGGACCTCAGTGGAGTGATGTGGAGGGGTCCTAAAATGTCATCTCTTCTGCTGATTCATGAAGACCCAGGCCTGCAAGCTGCTACCTCCCAGGAAGGCACCTTCCCAGGCCAAAACCACTGGCCTCTACCCAGAAGCTGTTCTCTTGAAAATGCAGAGCCTGTGGGAAAAGGGAAAAGTCCATTTTCCACTCCATCACACACAGCCGGAAGTAGCCTCCCACTGGTCAGTGTCTCAGGACTCAGACTCCCAGGGAGCTGTCGGAAAGGCTTCATTGAGGAGATGGGGCTGGCCTCTGGGGGCCACAAGCCAGGTACCTGGTGCTGTCACAGGTTCAGGGCGGGACATACCAGGGCACCACCAAGGCCAATGCTGGGCCCAGGAGTCACTGTCACAGGCTAGACACTAGGTGGTCTCACAGTCTTGGGGCTAGGCACGGGGGACACCATTCCAGGGAGGTGCCTGGAAGCCTTGCCATGCCGCACTGTCACTCAGCACCCTGCTGCTCTACCCTGAATGAGCAGACTGTGGGTTCTAGACTTCTCACACAGTGGAGGTGCCCATTATGAGGCCAAGTGAGGCCTGGGCAGCTGCTTGCCATGGCATGTGGGCTGAGGGATCTTCAGGGCCTTGCATCTCCCTTTGCATCTGCCAGGCTTGAGAGTCACCTCTATATTGAAGGTAGGGGATCGGGGGCATGAGAGAAAGGCAGGAGGGGTCTGGGTGCCTGGGCGCCTATGCCAGCTATCCTCATGCATGCAGGGCCTCCATTTGTCCATATCGTGCTGGCCACATCCTCACCAGAGTGCACTGTGTGCCAAGCCTGGGCACCCGGACTTGTCCAGGAATTCCAGTGCGCAGGGTGACCAGGAACACGAGAGAAGAACCTTACTAACACTTGGGGAACAAACTAACATCCGTGGAACAAATGAGCTTGCTTGGGAGGTGCCATCTTGGAGAACTTGTGTGACAGTGTGACATGTGAGAGGCCGCTCACCCTGCATGAGGCCCTGTTCAACACCCTGTGAGACTTTAAGACCATATAGGAAACCAAGGCCCAGAGAACCTAAACGGGGCTTACGGAATCAGGATTCAATACCAGGTTTCAGTAGACTATTTGGGGGTATAAGGTTTGGGAGCCCATGTGACAGTCTCCCAGCTCCAACCCTAATTGACCACATGTAATCTTGTGGTGGCAGCCCTGGCTCAGGTCACCTGCCAAGCTGCACATTATGCCTTTTGGTAGAAAACATGGTGTTTTGTCTTCTTCCCGGAGAGTCCTATTGAGTGAGTGAGTGGGGTGTCCTACTCTGAGCTGCCCCAGGCATCTATGTTGTGTTGTGAGGATTCCTGCTGCTCCACACAGCTGGCTGCAGTGCCTATGGCGATGGTGGGGAGGAGCTGGACCTCACAGGAACAGAGGTCATGAGCCAGGACATGTCATTCTGTCACCACTTGTGAGTGCAGGCAGTGACATCAAAGTGTGGCCTGTCAGCCTGAGTCCTCTGACTCTGTGACTCCAAGAAGGGTAAAGGTGGTCTGCAGTGGGATCTGCTTGAGCCTCTGCATGTCTCCCTCTGTATATGGATGGTGATGCTGTGCCTATGCCAGGGTTGGTGTGCAACACATCATGCCCCCAAAGAATCCATCGTGGCTCCTCTCCTCTGATTTGGCTGCTGTACTTGGGGCTGGCATCTCCTGGCATCTCTTTGTGCTGAAAATCCTGTGCATGGTTTTGGGGGAGGGGGTTAGAGTCAACACTGACCTGGATGTGAGTTCTGAGGAGATGCTCCCCAAGACTGGGGAACCCACTGAGAGCGTGGCGCACAGAGGCTGACCCTAGAACAGTTACTCTTTAAGTAGTTTAGTCCATTCTGCAGGACCCTCGCTCCACGAGGCCTCAGCTTTGTAGAGGGAAAGGGCAAGCCCCTGGAAGCCCTCCCTTTCCTCCCAAGTTGGAACAGCCTGAACTGGGGCAAGCTGTAACCCCAAACAACAAAGTAGCTGCAGCATATGAGATGGGCCTGAAATGGGGCTCCCTCATGGCGGAGACGGGAAACAGGACAGCGAACCATTGGACAGGCACATGGGCAAGAACTGAGCAGTGAGAGGGCAAGGCAAGAAAATCTCCATGGGTGTGGGGGGGCTTGCTCAGGTGCCTGCGGGTCCCTGGGGATGACACCAGCGGAGCGTCAAGGTGTCCGGCCACCTACCTCTGACCATACCAGGAACCTTGAGACACACAGAATGAGGCCAACATCAGTGGTTTGTGACACTGAGGAATTTCTAAGAGGCAGTGCCCAGTGGATGTTTCTGTTACTATATATGGGTCATCAAAGATTGGCCTTGTCTGTTTACTGTTGTACCCACTCCACCACCCCACGGATGCCCCACCCCACCAAGCAAGGACAAGTCTTGGTTACTGCTGCTAAGTTCCTGAAGCTCTGCTTGGCATTGCACATTGAGCCTCTAAGGGACACAGACTTTCTGGAACCATGCTGGCTGCTGATGGTGTAAACACATGTCCAGCACTGTCTCTATGAGGAGGTCCACCACTGCATGGTACAGCTGGTTGACCAGCCCAAATCTCACAGTGGCTATACGTAAGAAAACTTTGTCCTTAATCTTGGTCTCCAACCTTTGCTGTTGAATCTCTCCCTTTCCTGTCCTCAGTGATTTAGTGACTAAGAACCAGTCCACAATGGTCCAGTTCAGGACCTCAATCTCCTATCCAGCTCAGTGCACCCCTCCCACCCCTGCTATTGGGCCCAGTGAGGAAGGAGGGAACTGACCAGCGTCCCTGCTCACTTCCCTGTAGGGTCATGGAGAGCACAGCGGCAGCAGGGTGGCGAGCGAGGGGCAGGGGAAGGCAGGCCCTGGAGTGGTACAATGCAATAGCACGTCCATTCCTGTCTGGCTACAACTGACCAGCAACCCTGCTCACTGTGCCCCACCACTTAGCCTTGACTGTCAGCTCACCCCTCTGGTGATTCTCTCTCTTCCAGGCCTCCAGCCATGTGCTTGTGTAAACAATGGGGTAGGAATGAGGCCTGGGCTGATATGGCCTGTAACGAGCCCTGGAAGGGTGTCTGGTCCCCCTTATTTGGGGCTCTCTGCAATGTGGGCACCTGCTACCTATGGGCCTCTGTTTTCCATTTTCAGGGTGGTGGAAAAGCCCCTCTCCACACTTGCATGTGGCAGTGGCTGCCTGTGACGGCTGGCAGGTGGCTTTCTCTGCCTCAGCAGTCTGCTGTGTACAGAGTCTTGGGGCTTCCCTTTGCTGCCTGAGAGTCTGCACGGAGCTGGCACAAGCCCCTCTCTCCTTTTTCCTCAGAGCCCTGGTTCTGGGGGGCCTGTGGTCAAACCAACATCTCCTGCAAGATAGTGAAGGGGAAGCTGGTGGAGGTAGGCAAAGGCCATGGCAGGTGAGCATCCTGCTCCTGGGCACGTACATCTGCAGCAGCTCCCTCATCCATTGCCAGGGGATCCTCACAGCTGCACTCTGCTTACAGAGGTCAGTCAGGGTGGCCAGCTGGCTCCAGGGCCTTGGCTTTCTGACCTTGGGGGGGCCCTGTCAAATCTGGGGGTCTGGGAGCATGAGCCTGGCTGGGTGGCCCTGTGCTCAGCCTGTGTCTCTCCAATGACTTATGGCCTCACTGCTGGCGATCTGCTTCTTACTCATGGCTCTACAGATTCAAGGACCCCAAAATGTACACTGTGAGGGTGGGAGTCCAGTGCCTCCCAGAAAACAGCACTCATCTCCTGCTCATTTGTGTCATGATTCACGAGGATTTCAACAACCTCATCTCCCATGACATTGCCCTCCCCAAGCTCAGGGAACTCATCCCCTCGTTCCCCCTCATCCAGCCTGTCTGCCTACCCAACGCCAGATTCAAGCCATCGATCAGAACCACCTGCTGGGTGATGGGGTGGGGACACACAGATTGTCAAGGTGAGTCAAGGCAGGCAGAGGTCCCAAGACACCTGTCTCTTCAAAACACAGCTTCACCATGTCCTCCTTAATTCATGTCTTGCTTCATCCATTCACTCCTGTGAACATTTCCTGGGCAGCTACACGTGCTGTACAGTTCTGACTTCTGGGCACAGGAAGAAGTGACAGTGCTTTAGGTAAAAGACACATATGGCCTGCATGAACCTCATCTCCTAAAGTAAAGTTAAATCCAATGCCAAGCCCTCACCTTGCAGCATGGCAGGAAATGAATATTGGCTATTAATGGGGTTCCCTGTCTGTAGGTGGCACAAGGGCCATGGTCTCAAGAGGAACTGAGACATTGGGCAGCAGTCATAAACATTTGTTACCTTGAGGCACCAATAATTCCTGGAGGTCTGGCCCCAGTTGTTCCCACCCTGGTGTCTTAGAATCTAGGAGCCTTTGTGGGGACCTGCCTTCCAGAGGGTGGCGATTCTGGATCTAGGGTCATACCACCTTGTCAGGTAGCTGTGGAACAGTGCTCAGCCCCTCACCCTCATGGAACCCGAATGTTTGGAGTAATTTCTCCTGGTCCTCATGCAGTGCCTTGAAGTTACTCTGAGCCCCTGGGGAGAACTTTGTCTTTCTAATGAGCTTGGGCTTTTGCAAAAGTCAAGCTGTGAGCTGGGGCCTTTATAAACCTTCCCAAGAAATGGCCCTGCCATTTGGTGAATCTGGACAGCTCCAAAATGGAGAGAGCTAGGGTTGAAGGGATGATGAAGCAGGCTCTCTCTCTCTCTCTCTCTTCAGTGACCCCAAAGCCCCCCAAAAGTCATTAGGAGGTGGCTGTGAAGATTGTAAATAATGATATCTGCAATCATCAGTACCAGTCCCTTTTCTTGAAGGGCCAGAAGAGTTTCATTGGGAACAACATGCTGTGTGCCAACTCACAATGGGGCGTAGACACTTGTCAGGTGCGAAGTGCATGCACAGGGCAGAGAGGGGGCTTCCTAGGGGTATGTTTTCCTTTTCACATGGCACTGGGAGACTTTATAAAAAGCTCCTTTCCCCTGGCTTCCAGTTTCCCAGTCTGTAAAATGTGAAATACTCTGGGCTCCTGTCCACAATTATGGTAGTAACAGCAGTACCTGTCAGGTTGTTTGAACACTTCTCAACATGGACATCAGTTACGTGCCCAGATCTGGGCCAGGTGCTAGCAGAATCCATTTTGCATAAATAGCATCATTCTGAAAGCATGCATTTACCCCTTTTACCTTCTGTTCAACATTGCTTTTGAGATTTATCCATACTGATACATGCATCTCCAATTCATTAATCAACAGCTCTGTACAAATTCTGTTTTGTTACTATGACACAATTTATCCATTCTCTTGTTTATAAACATTGAAATAGTTGTCAGTTTCTACATCTCACAAACTCTGCTCCTCTGAATATTCTCATATATATCTCCCTATTTACATGTTCCAGAATTTCTTGACAGGAGGCATCCTTCAAGGAGCTTGTGGGTCTTAGGCTGTGCCTATTATCTTTAATAATCATTGCCAAATTGTTTTCCAAAGTGATTGTATTAATCTTTATTCTTATGCAGTGTTTGAGAATTCCATTGCTCCATATCCTTGCCACTTTTTTGATATTGCCATACTATATATAAAATGTTTTTCATTCTGATAGATGAAAAATAGAGAACTAGTACCTCTTCGTGGTTGCCATGTGCACATCCCCAGTTCACATGTTCATTCATCATTTGTGATTCTTCTGTGAATCACTTATTCAGATATTTTGCATATATTCTATTGTTTGCCTTTTTCTTATTATACTTTCATATTTTGGATAGCGATTCTAAGTTCACTGTGTATACTGCAAATCTCTTCTCCCTGTTTTTGATTTATCATTTTACTTTGTTTATACTGTCCTTTGCTGAACAGCAATTTACAATTTATTTTAGTCAAACAAAGATCCATGTTTTCCTTTCTGGTTTATGCTTTTTGTGTCTTGTTTAAAGCATTCCCTTTCTTGTGGTTATAAAGATATTTTCCTTTATTTTTTTCCTTAAAGTTTGGAAATTCTGGTTTCCACATTTAAGTCCTAAATCCACGTGCATTCACCTTGTGAATGGTATAAGACAGGGGTCTATTTTTACTTATTGCCCCAAATGGACTACCAGTTGTCCGAGTGCCATTCATTGAAAAAACCATTTACTATACTGACTGTCTCTACTTAATCAGATATCTATATACACAGGGTTAACTTCTTGAGTTGGACACCTAGTGAAAGGAAAGGAGCGACACACAGCAGCAATTCACCGGAGAATTCCGCTTTATTAGGGAAAGGTGCTGGGTTATATAGGAAGGGGCATAGGATGATTGTGGTGTTACTTCTACGGGGCTGGTGGCTGTTGGCTAGGTGCGGGGATTAGGAGGGGGCGAGAGGTGATTGGGCTTCAGGTGGCGCCGGCGGGAACCGAGGACCCTGAAGAGAAGCCGGAAGTTTGCCATCTTACTGGTGGGGACCCTTCACCTAGATAATTTATTTTTGGTCTTTTCTAATACAAAAGGCTATAAATTTCCCTCTGAATATTGCTTTGGCTTAATGCCACATATTTTAATATATAGCATGTTTATTGTCACCCTGTTCTAAATATTTTATATAATTCCCATTTGTATTTCATTTTGACCCTTATCTTATATAAAAATGTCTTTTTGAATTTCTAAGTACATATTTGCTTGTTTGTTTTTGTTATTGATTTCTACCTCAATTTTCCTGTGAGTCATAAAATGAACTGGTATCTACAGTGATAGCAGTTATATGGAATATGTTGAGACTTATTTGGTATCCTGGTATATAGTTAAAAATTTTAGTGTTTATTTCAGTATTTTCTATTTTTATTAATTTTTCTTCTGCTTCCCTTGGACTTTATTTGATTTTGTTTTTCTGTCTTCTTGAGCAAAAATATTTACTCTATTTCCATTTGTGTTTGAAGTATTTAAAGCCTGTTACCTAAACTTTGGATTCATCTATTAAATTTTGTACTGTTGTGATTCCATTATCACTAGCTTATTTTAAAATATTATGCTTTGTGATTTGGAAGGAAATGCACACATTTCCTTAAAAATAACAGTACATAAATGCACAAATTAGAAAATGGGACTTTCCTGTAATCAACTAACCTAGAAATTTCCACTCTATGTTGTTTAGATTATATTTTAATACTTCTTTTTGTACGTATATAAAACTCTAAATAAGTTTTAAGGATTTTTTTCTGGTTTCTATTTTTAACAAAACTACAATATAATTTTATTCTCCAAGCTTTTTATTTTCGTTTGAAATACATCTCGCCTGGCTTTAGTGCATCTATATATCAACAGGTGTTCCTAGCTGGTGGAAAGAAGTAATTGATCTCCATATCAATGGGTAGTTACCTGGGCGACCAAGGGCTTATCTGAACCTGAGAGATTGGGGGGAGGTCTTGCTTGCTTCTGCAGGAGCAAGAAAGAGAAATGGCCTGGGACTGCAGTTTGAAAGCAATAAATGGGTTTTAAACTTTATTACTTCTTTTGACTGATTTCAGTTTTAGAGGTATTTTGCCCTGGGATTTCTTTTCCCCAGAGTTACAGATCGTTGTAAAATAGTGATTTTCTAGCATCTTCATTCCTTCTTTATTTATTAGTTGGCATTCTCTTGTAAGGAAGAGTTTTCCCTTCTTCAATTATTTATCCTAGTCCTTTTAAGTCTTAACGACATCCATAGTTTTGTCTTCTTTTTTGTTTACAATATTGCTTAATTTGTTCTTCCTCCTTTACTACTCCAATCTTGCCAGAAGTCTGTGTACTTTATTAGACCTTTCAAAGAACCAACCTTTTGACTCATGGACTGCCTTAGATTTGGTTCCCCCAGAAATAGACAGTCTATGGCTTGCAAACAGCCGGTGCACTATGAGCAGACAAGGCACACCCATTAAAAGGCAAAGCCATGCATCATTTTTAGTAAGGATGAATTGCTGCCCACCCTGGGGTAGAAGAAATCCAGGATAATGAACTTGCCACCACATGGCCACTTATGTTCTTCAGAGATCATTGCAGAGCAAGGGCTTGGCAATGGTCTGTACTGCTGATAGGCATTCAGCTGTGGAGATAGCTGCATCAGCTTCGGTGAGAGGCAGATTGTCATGGCAGGCCACCATGACGAATCCATTTATTCATGGCCCCTTTGTAAAGGTTGAGGAGGTTGAGGACAGAGGTGTTTACTGGACGAGTCCCCCAGTCCACCGGGTTATTTGGTGCTCCTGCCATGCATACTTTTGGGTGGGCATTGATGTGGGACCTGTGAGTCCACCCACCATGTGGCGATTCCCATAGGTTCGTCCACATGCTTCTTGCTCAGATGACCTTGCTTCCAGTCTCCCAGCCTTGCTCCCTGTAAGCCCTTGACCAACCTGTTTGCCATTACCTGGAAGGCTGTGTATGTCCTTATTTCCATCCACTTCCTTCTCACAAAAAATAGATGGCCAGCTGACTTTAAATGCTGCCCACTGGCAGGACTTCCCCTCAGCACTCTTCCTCAGGGCCATTCTGTGTAGCAGCCATCCATTTTTACCTTACACCAACATACTGTGCTGACCCAAACATCATCAGGCCATCTATTTGTCTCCCCCCTTCAAACGGTTGTAGAGAAATCCCCAAGGGGCTGTAAATGTGAGCTGGTGGTGAGGCATCGGTGCAGAGAGGCAAGGTACATGGGGTATGGGCTACCTGTTTACACAGTTAACTTGTTTTCTCCATAACTGCTGGAGCTTGATTCCATATGTACTATTTTCATTGTATGACAGGTTGCAATTGTGCCTGCCTCAGCTTATGATTTGGTAGTCTGCCAACTGCCCCAGCTTATGATCTTTTCTTGTCAGACACTCAGTTTCTCCCAGGGCCCAGTATTGTGCCAGAAGCTGTTTTTTTTTTTTTTTTTGGTTTTAATGCAATAGTTCTCTGCTGTAGACTATGACTTTGCTGTAGAACCTTAGGAGTCTGGGATACAACTCTCGCTACAACTCTCCTATAGGGGCTTGCCAGACTTTAAAGAGTATCCTTAACTACCATCATTGGCTCTGACAGACTGCATGCCTTGTAGTGTAGCCTGAGTCCACTGCAAAGCTCTCTCTTCCTCTGGGCTCTACTCAAAACTGACAGCTTTCCATGTCAACAGAAATGGCTTCAGGCAGTATTCCCAAGTGAGTATATGCTATCTCCAAAAAAGCCTGAAACAAGCATTGTTTCTTTCTTAGTGGCAGGTGGCACAAAGTACAGTAACTTGTCCTTTACTTTGGAGAGGATGTTTTGGCGTATTTCAGATCATGGACTCCTAAAAACTTCACCAGTGAGAAAAATCTCTGAACCCTTTCTTCCACCCACTCTCCCATATGATGCATCTTTCTAGGATGTCCACAATGCTTGTCACTTTCTAATCCCCATGTCCAATTAACATGGAATCCTCGATGTAGTGGACCAACCCAGGAATGTCGGGATGATCAAGGTTCCTTCATATTGTATTGCAACAAGCATGAGTTAATAGAGCCCAAGAACAAGAGCTTAAATGTGTGCTGCTGTCCCTCCCAGGTAAATGAGAAGTGATTTTATCATCCTTCCTGTGGGACCAGATCAGTAGATGCATTCCAAGTACCAGAGGCTGTGCTCATATGCTCTAATAAAGATCCTGTGTCTGGTACAGCAGTTGCCCATGTGGCTGCCCATTGTGAAGCTATTGGTAGTGATGCCAGGGTTCTTGTTTGTGGAGTCACAGAATGAACTTAGCAAACACCCAAGGTAGCAGAGTCAGGGCAGAGGCTTTTATTGAGAGACAGAGTGAGGACAGAGCTCCCGGCTCATGGCAGGAAGGGACAAGAGAGCCCATAGTGGTGCCTTGTCCAGGGGTTTAATAGGCAGTTGAGGATTTTTGGGAACTG